TTTGTTGGACCTTTATTATTGTTTCTGCAATCTCAGTCTTTTCAAGAGATCTATTTCTGAAAACTAGTCACATCAGTCTGTTCAAGAGACCTATTTTTACAAACTAATACAACCTTTTAGGAAAGAAGTATGGAGAATTCTCAAAAAACTTAAATTAGACCTCTCATTTTATCCTGAAATCCTATTTCTAGGTATCTACCCAAGAACAAAAAAATCATTTTATTATAAGGATATTTGCACAAAACTCTATTGCAGCTCAATTTATAATCACCAAAATGTGGATGCAATATAAATGCCCACAAAACCAGGAATGGGTTAACAAACTGTGCTATATGTATACCATGGAACACTATTCAGTCATTAAAAAAGATGGAGATTTTACTTCTTTTGTATTGACCTAGATAGAGTTGGTAGTCATTCTTCTTAGTAAATTACCACAAGAATGGAAAAGCAAGAATCCAATGTAGTCAATTCTAATATTATGCCAGTAAATGATCTAATGCATGCCCATGCAAGAGAAAAACTCAAATCAATATAATGGGAGGTGAGAGAAGAAGGAGTGGGGAGAGGGGAGGAGGGAGGGAAAGGGGGCTATGATGTCTGGCCCACCTCTTCAGGGTAGGGTACAATTATAAGAGAGCTTTACCTAACAAATGCAAACAGTGCAACCTAATTCTTTGTGCCCTCAATGATCCTGAAACAATAACAACAATAATAACAACAGAAAAAAATAAGGAAATTTAAAAAATAAAGAAATGTAATTCTAAGGATCACTGGATTAAGAATTGTATTTATTAGTATAACAGTTGACAGCTAATATCACTTTATAACTTAAAAAGTGGGAACCTAATTATTATACCATTTGCTCTCCATATAACCTGTAGTAAATAGCATTATGATATAGTTTACAGAAGAGGAAACATAGAATCTAAAAGATATGAGACTGTACTTTAGAGAACAATTGTCTTCCAAGGTAGAAAGTGGTAGAGAAATGTTATAAAAGAGAGTACCTTTCAGGGAAACCCACTTTCCCAATTTATAAATATGGGACAATAATACCTCTTAGGGTTGCTATGAAGACTGAAGGTTAAATATATGTGTGGTGCCTAGAAGAGTGTCTGGCATATATGTATTAACTATTTTCCTTGTCTTTAGTAATATATTCCAAGATCAAAATACACACCATATAATCTCATTCAGATGCCAGTCATTCAAAAAGCTTTTGACATTTATGTCAGAGTTCTGTGCTATAGACTTGAGAAGCCTAAGATAGATAGCTACCTGGTGATTTAAGTCAGATCTTGTACTTAACCTGACTTAAACTGTATACCTCAGTTTATTTGCTTAATTTGCCCAAAAATAATTCAATAAAGAATTTTTACCCAGAATTCCAAAACAAAGTATTCTCTTAAATCTTACTTTGAAATTTTCATAGTAATTAAAATTGATGGCATACAGTAAATTATTCATAGAAGCACTTAAAACCTTTAGTACAGACATCATTAACTTAAGGTTTCATTGATGTTGTTGTTTCCCTTGTGAAAAGGGACCAGAATTCTCTTTAACTTTTAATTTTGCAAACTATTGTCTAACTTGCAACCCTTATCTTGTCAGAGGTAAATGTCTGCTGATTGTAATTCACCATGTGAGTGAGATGTTATTAAGGAAATCGAGTGCAACCGATGAGCTCCCTGTCCACAACAGGGTCAATCTCAATGTTATCCAATAATTGACTCTGTTCCCTGCATGTCAGGTGAATAGCAGTTGCAATTATTGTCATTTTATGTCTGTGGAAACTTAGACAGGAGGGTTAAGTGACTTACTCAAGGTCATATTGGAAATCAGTGGCATTCCAAGTAGGAGATTTTGTAATAAACTTAACCAGATCATCTCTTGAATAGTTCTAACTTTATTATTAGAGTTGTAAATAGTTTTTCATAATATACCAGGGTATATTTCAACCTAATTTTATATTAAATCTAGTATCATATATTTATTTCCTCTTAGATACAGAATGTATAAAGATGTCCTATCTCTGGTTGAACCCATCTATAGTTATGAGTATTTGAAAGTTTAAACACATTTCATGAGAATAAAGAGAATGATAATGACCAGTAGTCAAGATGGAGAAAACACATTTCTATTTCTGAGCTAGTTTAATGGGTTGGTAGATTATAATTTACTTAACGCACTTGCATATTACTTTTCATTTCAGGAGTAGTGATCTGTGTCTTCATTTACGTGCTTTGCCATATGCCAGCAGTAGTAATACTTGTTCTTCTCTTTACCACATTACATAGGGCATATTTCTGGGGAAAGAGGAAATTACAAATTATTTTCAGATGCAAGTAAAATTTAGTCTCATGCCACTTAATTTGATTTTTTTAAAGAAAATGAAATTGATAAAATGAAAAATTATATTAGATATATAAATATATTTCTATAATAAGAAATAGCTATCATTTTTGAACAGTTAATGTAGGTCGAGTATACTATGACATTTAAAGAAAACTTTGAAGAATTTATAATTAAGAAAAAAAATTTGAAAAAGAATTTATAACTAATATTTAAAAGCAAAGACAGAAACAATAAACAAATGAGACTTAATTAAACTAAAATGTTTCTGCACAGTAAAGGAAATAATTAACAGTAAATAGGCAACCTACAGAATGGGAGAAAATATTGACAAGCTGTACATTGGAAGAGGACTAATATCAAGAATTTTTGAAGAGCTCAAACAAATTGCAAAATGAAAACAACTCCATCAAAAGGTGGGCAAAAGACATGAACATTTTCCTTTTCAAAAAAAGATACAAATGACCATGAAACATGAAAGTATGCTCAACATCACTAATTATCAGGGAAATGCAAATTAAAACACAATGAAACACCACCTTATACATGACGATATGGCCATTATTAAAAAGTCAAAAAACAATAGGTGTTAACATGGATTCAGTGAGAAGGGAAAGCTTATATAATATTGTTGGGAATGTAAGCTAATATAACCTCTGGGAAATAATATGGATATTTCTCAAGAACTAGACGTAGACCTACAGTTTGATTCAGTAATCCCACTACTGGGTATCTACCCAAAGGAAAGGAAGTCATCTTATAAAAAAGACACCAGAACCTAAATATTTATTATAGTGGAATTCTCAATGTTAAAGATGCGTTTTAATCTAAATGCCCATCAAGTGATGCATGTATAAAGAAAATGGGGTATAGTCATCGTGGAATACTACTCAGCCAGAAAAAGGAATGAAATATGTTTTCCAGCAACTTGAATAGAAATGGAGACCATTATCCTAAGTGAAGTATCTCTAGAATGGAAAACAAATACCACGTGTTCTCACTTGTTAGTGGGAGATAAACTATATGGTCATAAAATATCTTAATGGACATTGAAAACTAAGAACAGTTGAATATAGTAAGAATAAAAAAGATCTACCTATTGAGTACAACGTACACTATTCTGGTAATAGATATGCTAAAGGCTCTGACTTCAGTATTATAAAATTCATAGACGTAGCAAAAAATCTTCTAGATTTCTTGAAATAAGTAAATAAATTTAGAAGACTTCAAATCAGAAAGAATTTTTTATTTTCTTTACTATGCTAAAACTGTGAAATGACTAACTCTTAGATTTTATTACTACCAATTTATTTTACTCTGAGTTAGGCTTATAATAAATAGATAATAAATGTTTGACAATTGATGTTGATTCTTTGATATTTATATTTTGGTTGGATTTTTCATTGATCATTCTTCCAGTTTCTTTTGTTCATGTATAAAAGATTTATTGCTATTTCACACTATTTATTCAATAAAGTATGATTTCCGTATTCAAACCTAGAATCCAGAATATTGAAAAGCTATTTGAGATGATTTATTCTCATTTATAGATATCCTAAAGATTAGCATCTGGAAAAACCCAGGTATTGTGGATATAACATATTCTATGTGAATAATCTAATAAGTAAATCCATTTATCCTTTTAAAAATGCTCCCACTCAGACCAATGTCCTTACTCTACTAGGAGAGTATCACTGAAATTCCCTTTGGAAATACAATTTCATGGTAGCCTCATGAAATTTTATGGCCTTGAGATTAGCAAATCACATTTACTTCAAGACTTTTGTTTTTTGGGGGGAGGGGGCACAAAAAGTCATTGGTCCCATTGTTCAAGGGCTGTGAACATGGTACTTTGGGGGTATAGATGATTTTTTGAGAATGCTGGATCCCAGATTGCAAATGGAGGGCATAATTTGCATTCTGTTCAAAATATGACACATTGAATGGATGATATTATGCTAAGACAGATAAAGGTTTACTGTGCAGGAGAGAAAAGCACCTCAGTGTACAGTGTGCTAATTAGGGAGGGCTGTCCATAATAAACCCTCCATGACATAGTTACTCTTTCCTCATAGCCATTTGGAGAAAAGGTGTTTATATTCACAAAATATACATACATCTTTATTTATATATGTGCTTACTTGTAAACATATGATTTCTGAGTGTACACTCATTACTTACCAATGTATATTCAGTGTTTTTGTAAAGGTCTATACTATTACCTATACATATATAGGTACACATAGTCTCATTTCAAGTCAAAATCTGCTATATCTCTACCTTTTTATATGCACTTTTCTAACTGATGTAGTGTTGTACTAAATTTGAATTAATTTAAAATTTTAATGCATTAGAAATATACAAATTCCTACATTTGTTTTCAAAAGTAGATTTGAGTATGTCAGACACCAAATTCTACCTTTTTATTCTCAAGTGTAACATTATAATTCGAGTACAAATACTTAGATATAAACAGATTTTTATATGAAAATCTAACCTGGAAAGTTTTGATTAAATGACTTAAGTTGTGAAATGTCTCTGATTTTAAGCAAGCAAGTTTTATGAAAAGCTGATAATGTCCACTTCTTACTCAAATGCTCTCGACATAGTGTAGTGATCTTATATCTAATTATTACATGTTTTAGGCTAAGATGACTCAACTGCCCGAGGCAGAAAAAGAAAAGATTGCTGAGCAAGTGGCTGATTTCAAGAAAGTAAAAAGCAAGCTGGATGCTGAGATCGAGATTTGGGATGATACCAGCAATGATATCATTGTTCTGGCCAAGAAAATGTGTATGATCATGATGGAGATGACAGACTTCACAAGGTAATTATGTGGAAAATGAGGCAAGGCACAGTATTTATAATGATTAGACACATTGGTCATATTAATGAAACCTCGTGTCCTGCTGAGTAGAAGTTTTCAAAAGTCAAATGGTAGGGAGAAGGTAAACAATATAGGACGTTGTAGGCATATAATTCTAGAGGTTTTATAAATAAATAACTGTGGGAAAGTTTCTCATAAACTGCCAAGGAATTATATATCTTAGACGTGAGTTTATGTTTTCTTTGCTTTCCTCAGGAATCTGCTCTGTGCATCGTATTATTAGCATGTTTTCATAGAGAATTTGGTAACACCACGTTATGCTGCTACTGGAGCTAATGAATGGATGATTTCCATAGTTCCATAATTTTAGTTATAGTGATTGGGAGTCTGATCAGGATTAGGGGTGTCTGTTGCTCCTGAGATAGGAACTAGTCAAATTTGAAATTACAATGACTTATGGATAACCTCAGAGAAATCATTCATTGTATATATATTCCAGAAGTAAAAAAAAAAAAAAAAAAAAAGTCATTTTGTAAAGAGAGCCAAAAAGCTCTCTTGAAATATGTAGTGCTTACTTTACCAGATATTAAAATATACAAAGCTATAAACAGTTCAAATAATTTAATCTTGGTTAGTTATAGAAACCACAGAACAGAAGGACACCCTGAGAGACCATGTACTCTTAGGAATCCATTCATTTGTATTACCATACATTATACTTGAAATGGAATAAATGTTAATTTAAAAATCATAATTAAGAGAGAAAATGTACATGAATCTTTCACTAATTAAGAAAAAGTTTGTAAAGAAATACACACAGGGCGGCACCTGTGGCACAAAAGGGTAGGATGCTCGTCCCATATGCCGGAGGTGGCGGGTTCAAACCCAGCCCCAGCCAAAAACTGCAAAAAAAATAATAAAAAGAAAAAAAAAAGAAATACACACAAAGTACTCATAAAAAGGATTGTTGAATTCAACCGTTTAAAAAATTCTATGTATCAATTTAATGCCCTAAACAATATTGAAAAGTAAACAGATAAGTGGGTAAACATAAAAATAACCCAATTTGATTTCGCTTCGTTATAAAGCATACCTGTCGACTTTCTAAAATTAAAAACAAAATATCACAGTAGAACAATGGATAAAGTATATGAGAAAATCATTTGCCACTTTCTCTCCATGAAAAGCATGACCAATGAATATCTGAACAACATTTAACTTAAAACAATTAGAATAAGATACTTTTTAAATCCGTGTAAGTGACCACAACCTTTAAAATAGGGTTGGTATACAGTATGGTGGTGAAAGCATAAATGGCATAAGCTTTATAGGAATTTGGAAATGTGTCAAAACTAAAAACCTGTATCAACTTTTGGTATATCATCTGTGTCTGTATCAGTATTGTGCTTCAGGGAATCTGTCCCAAGGAATAATCTGAAATTATATTCTTTTTATATATAACTACAAAACTATTCAAAATAGTAAAATAATTGGAATAAACAAACTAATGAGGTCTTCCAGGTGAAAAGAAGACTCTACAGAAAATAAAGTCAAGAATTTTAAAACATATTTAATGAGGGCAGAATATTTAATGAAAAGGTAAAGAACAGCCTAAGCTGTGTGGCATATATATAGACACATCTATGGCTGTTCTCCTATGGGTATTTCTCCTTTGTTTTGTTTTATACCAAACTTGCTCTTTATAACAGAACTCCGTTCTACTGTGTATTCTTCTGAAAGAAAACCCACTTTCCAAAGATTATAGGCAGTGAGGATTTCACTGCATATTTTACTAGAAAGTAAGAAAATTCAATTTGCAATATGTTATACATGGAATTTCATAAAGAATACCTTCATAAATATCCATTTCTATTTTTCTTTCTTAGGTCTTTCCATTTTCCCAAACTTAGTCCTTCTAAATGTCTTCTCATTTCTTTTCCTACACAAAATAATTCACCTTTACCCATTGCTCAATTTCTGGAGGCAGAGATTCTGAGAAATCTCTGCCTCTTTCTCCATATATGTTTATCACATGCATACATAATTAAACATATGTAACAGAGGCATGCATATGCCTGTATATGGAAAACGAAACTACACTACAGTGGTAGGAAATGGTAGAAGTTATGGTTTAGTGATTGGGTTGTGGATGATTTAATTATTTTTAGCCTCCTATACTTCATTGATGTTCTATGATAAATATGTAATCATCAAAAAAATCTATTTTTTTTATTAAATCATAGCAGTGAACATTAATACTATCATGGGGTACTGTGTACTGTTTATATATAGAATTTGAAATACTTTCATCCAACTGGTTAGCATGGCCTTCATGTCTTTTTCTTAGTTATTGTGTTGAGACATTTATATTCTATATTTAGAGAGATTCACATGTACCCTTATAGGATGAACCATAGGCATGATCCCACCAATTACCCTCCCTCCACCCACTCCCTCCCTTCTCTTCCCCTCCCTCTCCCGTCTCCCCATATTCCTGGGCTAAAATTGGGCAAAAAAAAAAAAAAAAAAAAGAAAGAAAAAAGAAAGAAAGAAAGACAAAAGCTTCCTTGTAAGGAAATGTGAAATGACAACACAAAGTTGGCATGGAAGTTTCATAATTAAAATCTGGAAGGCTTTGCTAAGGCAATAAGAACAAACAAACAAACCTGCACATTGTACCCCATAAATGCATTAATATACACAGTTATGATATAAATAAATAAATTGCTGTTCATGCAAAATAACCCAAAGCAGGAAAAAAAATATACACACATATATAAAAAATTTAGTTTTATTTTGGCTCAAGGATTGGGGCAGTCGACTAATTTAAATCACACAAACTGAACAAGTTAAGGCAAAGTGCCTTATATGATGTCAGATTTCAACCTTACTGAAATATAAAGAATATGTGAATTTCAAGTTATCTTTAACTAGAAAAATAGGCATCAAATTACAACAAAGCTACGGCTGGTACTCTGTCACTGCCATAACCCTATGGATCTGGAGAATAGGAGTCCAGATCAGTAAGGCAGCCCATGGAGAAGAGACAAACCAAGAAGTAATAAATAAACAGCCAAACATTGATTCAAAACAAGAATATCTGACATTAAATGCTAAGTCCTCAACACACGGCTAGAACTTGCCATTTAAAAATGCAAACTATATAAGGAAGGGTTAAAATTAAAAGGGATTGAAATTGGGAATGTTACAGAAATTTTTAATTTTTAGGAAAAAAAGAAATAATGGACCAAAGATACTGGAAGTATCTGAGATATTATTAAAAGGGACATAAATAGGAAATCCAATGAATCCTAGTCAAATGAGAGAGAACCACAGTGTGGCCCTGCCTTTTCCCTTCCCACTAACACCACCCAAACCCTTATCCATTAAGGAAAGTCTTCATAGTAATGACGGGAGTTCTTGGCCCAGGAGCCCTGACTAGGAAGAGGAGGATTCCGACTAACTGAGTGTAAAGCTCCTGTAAGAAGATACAGAACTGAGAAATCAAACAACCCACCTGAGGAAACCTTTCCTCTAAAAAAGATACACACAAAAAACTAAAACTGTAACACAGCACTTCAAACTGAAATGAATTGCAAAGAAATAAACAGATGAAGGTATACTTAAAAAAAAAAAATGTAGACTGAGAAAATCAAAGAGAAATGAACCAAAAACCAGAGAAGTGGGTGAAGAATGCAATGAGTCAATACAATTTCAAGAGAAAATATTAAAGAATAAAATCTAAAAAAATTTACAAATAAATTATACACATAAAGCATCCGTGATGAATACATTCATATAGATATTTCCTAAAGGTCACTGAAGAAAAGCAGTACATTGGCTGAGAGAATGACTCCAAGATATGAGAACGTCTGGGAAATCGTGATACAGAAACAAGAAAAGGGGAAGAGGAAAGGAGGTTACAAAGGGAGAGATGCAAAGACTCAGCATATATATAACTGAGACCTTTGAAGATGTTCAGTCATAAAAAAGCAACTAATGCTTTAAAATACAAATCAAGAAAAATTTCCTCATACGCCTAAACATAAATTTATATATTAAAAGTCCTTTATCAGTTGCCTAGGAAATTTGGTTCAGAACCATCAATACTAAACACAGGCATGTTTTCTTCGTACACCAAAAAATTATAATGCATATGGTACTATATTCTACATATGGCAAACGTGTATACATGTGTACGTACATGCATCTGTGTGCGCGTGTGTGTGTGTATACACATAGAGAGAAATAACAAGGTAAACCAGTTGAATGAGGACATATGAAAAGCAATCATCTCTACAGAGACCTGGCAGGGAATTTTAACCTTGATTTTATTACTAACATTTACCTTCCTATCTATAAACATATACTTTTTAATTTATGATCTTATTAACTTTTTCTACAAATGATTTTCATCTTCTTTTCTCTCCTTTCTAATATTTATATTTTTCTTGTTGATATTTGTAGTCCTCGATATTATTTTATTGATAATTTCTTTGTTATTTCATATATGTTAGCTGTATTTCAACTTCTCGCCATACATGATAAGGAAACAGACCCTCTATCCTTTCCTTTTTCTCTTCTTGATCCCTGTTCTGCATCTCACAACCCAATCTCACTGCTATGTATACAGTTAAGATAGGTAACATGCCCATATATTCTATTTAATAATTAGAATTAATTCGTGTATGCTTATTCTAAAGGTTGATTCTGGAAGTGAAGATGAATAATATTTTCATTATTATGGCATTGACATAATTAAACTAGATAAGATATACACTTCAGGGAAATATATTTCCAGTAGAAAGCTGAATTCAATTTTGTACATGATTTAAAGTGTCGTTGCATTTATATGGGAAACAGCATATAAGGGAAAGACGCCCGAAGAGCTATGTTGTTGTATCAGCTTGGTAAGTGGCAATGAGAAGCCTCTCGACCTTTCTCACCATAGAGTGGGATAAATAATGAAAGTGGGTCTAGTAATACACAGGATCTAGAAC